ATGCAGTATATAGTGGTAGTACTAGGATTTACTCCAAATATTGATCAGTTTTTGCTTTTTCAGAGTAAAGAAAAAGGGGATGATCATAGACTTCTAATTTGTTTCCCTTGCAGAACGTGCTGTTTGCAGATGAGGGGGAGGAATCCGTGCTGAAAGTAATAGATTTTGGATTTGCCCGCCTGTGCCCTGCAGGCAGCGCCCCCCTGCAGACCCCCTGCTTCACGCTGCAGTACGCTGCTCCTGAACTTTTTGAGAGTGCAGGATACGACAAAGCCTGTGACCTCTGGAGTCTCGGGGTCATCCTGGTAATTTAAACCAAAAAATTGCTGATTCTGTCCCATCAGTAAGGTTAACTGAAGTACTAATGACTCGCTGTGTGTGTTTTCTGCAGTACACCATGCTGTCAGGCCAGGTGCCATTTCAGAGTGAGCAGCGGGGGATGACCTCATCATATGCTGCAGACATCATGCAAAAAATTAAGGAGGGTGATTTCTCATTGGAAGGGGAGGCCTGGAAGGGCGTGTCGGAGGACGCCAAAGAGCTTGTTAAAGGTATGTGATATAGTGAGTAGGTTACACATTTATTAGAGCCACATAACATAACTTGAACAGAATGTGCTTTGTTGTAGCCTGCCCGTTGGATGAGATGGAGGTTTTGTAGGGCTCATCAGGTGTCAACATTTTTTTTTCCATATCGGATTGTTTTGTCTAATTCACTTATACAGGGAAATAAAATACATTCTTGAAAATGTAGGGCTACAATACAATGTTATAGTTATTAAAAGGGCCCTATTGGACTCCTTTGTTTACCTGTGTAACATAGGAAATCCCTACGTAACACTTTTATTGGCTAGCATTCCAGCACATTGTATATGATAGGCTAAGGGGCGAGACATCTCTAAGTGATCAGCCAATCACAAGAGAGCTGGCAAGATAACCAATCAGAGCAGACTGGGCTCTGGTTTCAGACAGAGGGTGAAAAGAGGTGCTGCACCAAAGGCATGAGATGAGAAAAATAAAGACCCTTTTGAACATTAAAGCATGGAGACATGTCCCAGTAGAGACACAAAATACAAATATGATCCTGAAAATGACCAGAAACTCTACTGTTGTTAACTAAAACAAAAAATGTATTTATTTTTTCTACAACGAAAGAAATAGTGATTTCTCCACCCTGGTCAGAATTTCCCTATCATGTATATCAGTCAACAATATGTCAGTCTAAACGTTATACATTCATTATTGTTATACAATAGATTACCTGCTGTTGTATTGCTTTTAAAGGAGTCGATACATGAGTGTACTAAACCGTCCTCTATCCTTAAAGGCCTGCTGACAGTGGACCCGGAGATGCGTCTCAAACTCTCTGATCTGAAGGAGAACAGCTGGCTGCAGGGCGGAGCCTCCATGTCCACCACTCCTCTGTGCACTCCAGATGTGCTGGAGTCCAGTGGACCTACTGTCCGCACCTATGTAAACGCCACCTACAAGGTAAAAGCATTGTGTTGACAATTTAGTAAAGTTCCTAAAATAAAAGATCGCCTGAACTTCATCTTACTTTTCTTTGTTTGTTTCGCTCCCTCACCAGGCTTTCAACCGTGGCAAGAGAGAGGGCTTCTTTCTGAAAAGTGTTGACAATGCTCCCCTTGCAAAACGCAGAAAGCTGAAGATGACAAGTACAGGCGTTGAGACCCGGTGGAGTTCATCGTCTTCCTCCTCCTCATCTTCCACCTCCTCTGCCTCTGCAACAGCATCAAAAGCACAGCCAAAGCAAACTGTGAGCCCAAAGCAGACTGTGAGCCCAAAGCAGACTGTGAGCCCAAAGCAGAGCTAGCCTCACTGGCAGAGGAGAGATCAGAGGGAAAGTGAAGAGGTATGTGCTTATACTGGCAACACAACATCCTCCAGTGTCCAAAAAACATTCTGACAAACCAAAAGACTGGTTTGAGTTAGTGTGAAGTTTTCAATACAAAATTAAATTCCATGTTTTAACAGCAACTTCATTCACCATGCCATTTTCTCCCCGAAACAAACTGTATTTTCTCTGGAGTGGATGGAAGAGAAAGGAAGTTTGGCATCTTTAAGATTGCACAGTCATGTATGGGCTTGAGAAAACTATTCTTATTCAGTATTCACTTCCTATAATGGGGTGATATTACACACTAAAAGTTAAATATGAGAAATGTACCTGTTTTCACTGTGGGTCAGAAACAGTGCCTGGCTATATAGGGATAAAGGGAAAAGGAGCCATAAATGAGCAGAAGCCATATATATATACAGCGACACAGGGAAAATATCTATTGAGCCGTTGAAAGCAAATTAAAAGTCCTTCCAGGAATTCACAGGCTTTATCCTCTGATTGTATTTAGTTATTTTGAATGTTGCCACACATATGATTGGCAGAAATCTGCAACATTTGGCCCCAAGTGCTGTGCCACATATAGGCACTTTGCTCTGTAAATATCTAAATGGTTTCCTCTTGCGCTATTTGCAAAGAATTTAAATGGTAAAAAAGAAAGGCTAATTGCTGGAAGGACTGAGCGCAGAGGGAAAAGGATATGATTTGTATAAACTATCCGACACTTTGTTGTATAAATCGTCTCTATTGGATGCAGTCAGTCTCCACAGATCTCATTAAACACATCGTGGGCCACATCTCTTGATCGATGGCTCTAATAAAGTATTTGCAAGCAATTTGTAGAGCTTGAACAGGTCGCAGTAAGTGTTCAACAGTAGTCATGGAATAGTTTTTCCTCATTACTTGCTGTAAATTACTCGCATTTTTGTGCCGCTCTGAACATTTCTAGCATGCTAATCTGTTGTGATGATGATAAACTGTAAGCTCTGGCTTACTAAGGAAATGTCACCCACAATGTTTTCTATGATAACAATTGCAGCTTAAGTGTTTGCACGTAAATTGGAACAAAATCTCTTGTTCATCGCCTTGGGCTTTTGAATTTTTAAAAGGTGTTACAGTTTTCCCTATGAGACCAGTGCCATTTGCGGCTATCACAAATACAATTTGATTTGATACAGGGAAAGTTGTTGCCCCTGAATCACGCTCAGCTTAAGGGTCTTTTTACACATGTGGTTTTAAGACATTATATGGCTTTGAAACACGAATAATGTTACAGAATGAGAATTAATTATGACTTTAATCTGGTTCTGACGAGACCATCATACAACTTTTGTACATACTCTTTCTTGATTTAGAGCAAAAAAAAATGTATGTAATGATTTAAAATTTGTATTATTTTAATGGTATATTAGTTATCTGATGTAATGTTGTTGGCTTTTGTTTTTTACATGTTGCGCAGTCAGTTGATCAATTAAAACACATTTCAGCTTTAAAGGTGCTTCCGCTAATATTTATTACATGTAATTGATTTATTGCCGTGGTAATGGGATTGATAATTAAATTGGATATTGTTGTTTACCAGCTGTGTGTGTGAGTTTGTGTGTGTGTTGATTTCATTCACAAGTTGCCAATTAGTGCAAATGAACATACATTGGTACATACAGTATGTTTGAATGAATGGCATGAATGGTGCTGGGAGGTTAGTTGTACCTATGTTTCTGTACCAGATAAGCATTATTACAATTTACTGTATTATTTTCATGTTGCTTGCCGCCTTTGTCTGTTTAAAGGTAACTGGTTGTTTGTATTTGACATTTTTACTTAAGAAACTGCTTTAATTGGTGTTTATATTCTGTTGTAGTAAATGATATTTTTCGTTATTTCTCTTCCTTTTTTTGAGCTTTACCATTTACTGAGATGCACTGTCACTGATGTTGTAACGGGGAATTGTACTTTTGCGCCAATATTTTTGGTTGGTGCAAAAATAAACATAACTTTTAAATAAATGGTGTGACTTGTCTTTTTACTGATGTTATTGGTCTAATGTTTGTGATTAATAAAGGACTGATGTTTGATACTTAGTGCACAGAGTTTGATAATCATTCAGAAAGTGTACATATTTCATAACAGAGAGGGAAAGTCTGGACTATAAGCACCACTTTTGGCATATTGCACGAAGGACAGGTAAGAAAAGGGGTTGTGTGGATTTTGTAGTGGCAGTAGGCTATGTCAGTTATAGCAACAGGCAGTAAGTGGAGTAATTTCAACCTCTTTAACAGTGTTTCATTTCAGTCAAACTACCCCTCCAACCTGCTGTTATTTCAGTTCCTACAGTAGGCTACAGTGGAGCTTCTTAACAGATAATTACCGCAATAAATTATTACTTCGCCCACAAAACAGTCGTTTGTGTATTAGTATCTCAACCTACGCTGCCTTAAGTGTCAACAAGGAATTAAAATACCGAAAATATATCCAGTCCAATACATTTACTCATGTAGGCTACTGTACTAAGTAGCCTACAATTGTAATGTAGCCTACTTGTAGCCTACTTGAGTTTCTCCATGTTATGCTCATTTGTAATTCTACTCCACTAAAATTCAGAGGTAAATATTTAACTTTTACTACACTACATTAACGTAGTAGGCTACCTTAAGTTACTAAACCTACTTTGCTGATATCTAATAATTCGAAAGTACATTTCAAAATGTAGTAGCCTACTTGTAGAAACACGTTTTTCTAAAAGAAAAAGTTCATTGTATCACTTCAAAATATATGGGTTTTTATTCATACTTATTGCAAACAACACTATATTAAGATTTATATTTAGACTAAACATTTAACTTGGTAACATGATGCGTTTTATTGAAAGAAAACATAGTTACCGCGGCATTAAAACATTGACAGTTCGGAGTCACGTGTCGTTTTTTCTGGGCTCACGTGCCATGGTTCTTAAATTCCGTTCGAGAAGATGACGTCATATGGTGAGCGCTCGATACGATCCAGTCAGTGTTCCTAAACTCATGTCAGTCACAAACACACACAAACACACGCAGAGCAGCTGTTGTTTGCAGAGAGAGACCTTTTTAACTAATTTCCAAAACCTGATAAACATATCAACCTTAGTGAGCTCAACTGTTGCTACAATGCCTCGGTAAGTAGGTATACTTGAGTCTTTTTTTAAAACCTGTTTTTTAAAAAGGTCTAGGCAAACTACCTTTTGCAAGTCAACTTGTTTGTTTAATTTGCTTCAACTTGTGTTTTGTAATGTTTTGGACTTGTATTGATACATACCATTTGCTAGCAGTAATATATGCAGTTGACATCATTACTTTCAGATTTCTTAGCACAATGGGGGGGTTGAGTCACCTTATTTTCCACTCAACCAATGTTTCGTGATATAGTTTATCTCCCTTTATATTTATTTGTCATAACTGTTGCATTAATAGTGCACTTTTCAGACGAAGAAGGAGGACAGCTCCATCCAGACCTAGTCAAAAGGTGTATGGGCCCCCCCCACCAACACGTGAGGAGGAGAATGCCCAAGAAAATGACTTGATCGAGATTCTCGAGTCATTCGGATGCTTTGAGAGCAACGTGGAGCTGAGACACAGGTAGGATGCATATTTATATATTTATTCATTGAGATGTCATTAATACAGCTTTGAGAGGTAGGCTTATGATTTTAAGGGTACTTGGGGAGGGGGGGGGGGGAGAAATATATTCCTTTAAAACAACATTAACAAGCAAATGCCCAGGTGAAAGAGACCACAACACTTCAGAGGAATTACAAAGTCTGAAAATGCTCTTTGTGTCTTGTTTGCAGAGAGAATGTGGTCCAGAGACTGGAGTCACTGTTCAAAGAGTGGCTCATAGAGATGTGTCTGCAAATGGTAAGACATCTATCTTTATAAAATATTGTTCTTTCAAAAGTAACTCCTAAAATTATACTCGAAATGTGTTATTGGTTTGGTAACATTTTCTTTGTTATTGTAGAATTTACCAGGCATTGTCCCGCAGAAGGTTGGAGGGAAGCTCGTCCCTTTCGGCTCCCATCACCTGGGGGTCGCCTCGAAAGGCGCCGACATCGACCTCCTCTGTGTGGGACCGGGTTTCCTCCAGAGGAAGGACTTCTTCTCCTCTTTCGTTAGAAAACTGAAGAGGCAGAGAGAGGTCAAAGACATACGGGTACGTCTATAAGACATTCATTATGACAAGTTACTTTTTTTACCCTGTTGCAAGTTACTGACTGTTGTTGTCTTCAGGTCATTGAAGAGGCATTCGTCCCTGTCGTTAAACTGACCTTTGAAGGAATTGAGGTAATTTGACCTAAGAAGAAATGTTGTCTCTGCAGTGTGCAGTATTCTTCAATCAAAGGTTTGTCAGCATGTGTATTCATCTTTGTTTGTGTGCTCCTGTTACATCCTAGATAGACTTAGTCTTTGCCAGGGTGGCCAGGAACAGAGTCCCACAGGAAATGGACCTGCTCCGAGAGGATTGGCTACAGGGGACGGACCTCCACTCTGTGAGGAGTCTGAACGGTAAGCATCATGTTAGAGACCTGCTGGGACATCCTGCAGCATTAGTACCTGACAGCTGAACCCGTCTGGAGTGTTTTTGTGATGTATTTTGGTCTGCCTTTTTTACAGTAACTCTTTTGATATTAATCTTTCTCTTGTTTGTTTTTTGTAGGCTACAGAGTAACAGAGGAGATCCTCAGGCTCGTGCCTAATGTTCAGAACTTCAGACTCGCTCTGAGGACCATAAAGCTCTGGGCCAAACGTGAGTTGAGATCTCTCTTTGTATGACTAAATAAATCAGAAAAAACTAAAACAGCCATAAACCTAATTGACTCAATCGGCAGTGGGTTAGAGCAGATTAGATCATGCCAGTGTTATCATGAGGTAACATTGTGAAGTGGAGGTCTTAATCTGTTCTCTCATCCTCTTGTTTCTCTTCAGAAAGAAACATATACTCAAACTCTTTAGGTTTCCTTGGCGGTGTTTCCTGGGCCATTCTGGTAGCCAGAATCTGCCAGGAGTACCCGAACGCCTCAGCCTCCACCCTGGTCACAAAGTTTTTCAAGGAGTACAACATGTGGTGAGTTGTCCCATTTCTTCAGTAAATGCCATCTTTCGAATGAAACTGGAAAGAAAATCCACTAAACCATATTTTGTAAAAATATTGTTTTGTTGTAACAGGAAGTGGCCAAACCCCATCATGTTGAGGGAGTTGAAGGATTGTCATTTCAACCTTCCTGTGTGGGATGCAAGGGTAAGGCCATGGGAGAATTTAAACTACAAATATAAAATATGTCAGTTAATTAACAATTAGCCCAAAAGCAACTGAAAGCTGAACATGCTGCATTTTCCAGGTTAATCTGGCAGACCGCTCCCACTCTATGCCGATCATCACGCCGGCATACCCAATGCAGAACACTGCTTTCAACGTGACTCCCTCCACCTTGGCCATCATGAAGGAGGAGATCCAGCGTGGTATGTCTCCACTCAGACATCCATCAGATGCTCACAGTGCACAGTCTCAGAGCTGTCCTGTTGTTTATAATCAGTTGGTCAGAAATAAGCATTTCAACTTCAATCACTGCACTGTACTTTGATTAGGTTGCCACGATTTATCAATGTTTAACTCACATCTTTAAGAATATTACAGGAAATCATGCACACAAAGAGGAGATTCATTTTTAACAAGCTTTCCCTTCCTCTCTCACAGGCCACACTATCGCCGGCTGGTCCCAACTCTTTGAGAAGCCCAATTTCCTCAGGAAGTACAAGTATGTAATAATCTGCCCAAAGATGAACATGTGTATCAGCATTCACAAAATACACAATCCTTTCTTAATATGGATATTTCCACCTAGTTTATTAGTCATTCTTAGCTCTGATATTTTAAACATATACATTTTTGTGTCTGTCTTGATGCCTAAAGCTTTTTGTAATAGTATAATTATGCTTTCAAAGAAGGCAGATCTTTATATCGGATGTTTTTTCATGTTGTGTTTTTTCTTAATGAAGATGGAACAGTGTTCACACTGCATAAAATGCTGTTCTGCATATCTTCATCTGAATTACGTATTTGTTTTCACACGTTGTGCTTTATAGTGCGTATTGTAGTAATACGTACTGCTATTTGAGTTTATATTAATGTGAGCTACTTAGGGCAGACTCTTTATATATTGCATACTGTAACTGATGGATGTGTTTTTAACTGACTCTCTTTTGACCTAAACGCAAACTCTTCAATGACTTCTGTGAATGAACGTGGAGATGTTTGTAATTTGCTGTTTTTTTCTTTGTAATGTGTGACTGCTTTCAATTTGTATTTGATTTTAATTGTTGAATCCCACTTTCTTAATGAGGGTGTATTGGTGGTTTTGTTGTTTACTGTTATTAACTGAACATGTAGACAGAATGTTGTTAGTAGAAGTAGTAAAGTAGGTTTAAGAATTTGATCATGTGTTTCTTTGTGTGGATAATAGTTTTAACCTATAAGAAATATTAGACGTTTATTTAATAGTTGAATGCTGATTGTTTTATGTGCAGACCAGGTTGTGCTGTTTGTTGTTATTCATTCAAAATGTGGACCAAAGCTCATTTAAGAAGCTGTTAACGTGTTTGGTCTGACTTTAATTAGTTGTTCCTGGAGTTCCTTATTTTACTGCATTTATAATATTGTCCAGTTTAATAAATCTGCCATGTGATATGATCCCTCTTGTTTTATTTGGACGAATGTGGAGCTTTACTTCTGGGTTTGCACAAGTTTTTAAAGTTGGACAGTCAGTACAGGCAGTTTCCTTGATCTATCTAAAGATGTGTTTACCAGCTTTAATAAGAAGTGAGCAGTTGTGCTGTTGAGATTTAACAATACTTACACAAATGCAAATTCAACACAGTACCACCTTCCTTTCTAAAGGGTCAACAGGTTTTACCTTTTAGAAAAAATGGTTACGGTTTATAATGAAGACTAGTAACCTGATTTTAGAGATGTTACTCAATGTGCTGTAGCTTGGCCTGTTTTAAATATCAGAAATACCTTCAACTACGACCGTTGTTCAAACAGGATTAATATTCAAATGAATATGATTAATGTAGTAAGATGCCAGCCTGTGCACAAAGGCTCAATGCTGTGACGTGTATTGCAACTGTTGTCTCTTATGTTTCAAGGCATTACGTTCTGCTGCAAGCTACTTCAGCTACAGAGGAGCAGCATCCTGCATGGTGAGTACACAGAGCATTGAACACGAGTAGCCCAGTTTGAGTAAAACTGGAACGGATTCAAGCGTTTTTGTCCACGATGAGAATGCTTTTTATGCATCGTTTTCTCTGAATCAGAAAACAGGTTTAACATTGTATTTCCACCAACTGTAGTGCTCTCTGAAACTGATGTTTTGTTCAATCTGTCAGGGTTGGCCTGGTGGAGTCTAGAATCCGACACCTGGTGGTAAATCTGGAGAGAAATGTGTTGGTGACCCGGGCCCACATTAACGTCCAGTCCTACCCTGAACGCAGCACGGGCAACGCCAGGTAAGGACGAGTGGTTTTATGGTTATATTAGTGTTGGTATCTTGCGTATTATTCATTTACGGAATATTAAATAATGTAATAGTAATGTTTTACTCTGTCCACTCATTGGTGTGTAATTCTTCCTGTTTCAGAGAGAAAATTAGCACAGGCTGATCATTTATCTTAAGCAGCAGTTCATTTCTATTAACTTGTTACTGTTTTTTTACCAACTCAATTCATTGGTGTGTATTTCTGTTTCAGAGCGCCGGTCAGAACAAAGTGGCTGATTGGACTTGTGTTCAATGAAAAGGGGGGCCAACACCTGTCAATAGACCTGACTCTCCAGCGCTTCAGTGACATCGGTATGTTTTCTTTTTCTAAACTCAGGAGAAATGGAGCAATGTCTTGTGAACTTATGAATCTTATTTGTATGTTGTGCTGCTGCAGTCCACAGTGTGGCAGGTCGCTGTCAGATGTTCAGAGAGGGGATGAGCACATCAGCTCGATACATGTCCCAGAAGGACTTCAGCTGGGATCTGCCTCAGGAGCCTGGCAGGAGGGTTATCAGTGAAGAGCCGCAGCCCTCAGTGAGCACCGCTGCTCCATCTCTGACGAGTCACCAGGCGACAAAGAGGTCTCGTTCGCCTCACTCAGAAAGTTCCAGCAAGAAGTTTAAATCTGACGAGGGGCCGAGCGAGGAAGTCTGTCTCAGCCAATCAAAGAGTGGAGGTCTCAAGAGAGCCCGCACTCCTGAGTCAGAGTCACCGAGCAAGAGGGTCCGAACTGATCTGCTGAGGCCCGCTGAAACCTGAACGACAAGGAGAGCCCCCCCTCAGCCTCCATTCATTTCATTTTGTAAATAGATGTATATATTGTATTATTTGTATATATATATATATGTAAATAGCTGTATAAATGTACAACATGTAAATTAAATATTTATTTGCAAAATACACATGAACCAAAACTAGATGTATTCTATTCCCTTGAGTGCATTTGATGAAATAGTATTGTAGTTTTGGTGTGATTAAACAACACAAGCTTATTTTCACTGCCACCACACCATTACATTAAATTAAACTAATTCCCTGACAGTCTTCATGAATTACAAATCACAAATTGATGCAGAACAACTTAAAACATACATTTCACTACAAAGGACCACAACACGTCTAAAGAGACATAAAATGATCGTAGACTGACCCAAAGGTACTGTAAACACACAAAGAACTAGATGCAAAACAGCCACAAGTTTCCATGTTATGCTACTCCACTACAATTCAGAGGTAAATCATGTACTTTTACTCCACTACATTTATTTAATACTGTTAGTTACTTTACAGATCTGGATGAATGATGTGAAATATAATCAAGTCTTAAATCAGACTTTAGTTCCACCTGGAGTAAATTCACAAGCTACCCTGCAGTATACAAAGTCATTCAAACTAGCTGCACCTTTACCAGCTTTGAGAACACTTTAATGATCAATCATTATAAAACATATCATATATATTATTCTGAAATGGACCAATCTGTATAATGACTACTTTTACTTTTGGGACTTTTAAGTATATTTTGATTCTAAAACTTTTCTACTTTCTACATTTTGAATATAGGGCTTTCTTGTAATAGAGTATTCCTACACTCTGGTACTTCTACTTTTACTGAAGTACAAGATCTGAGTACTTGTCCCACCTCTGTAAATAATATATGATTATAGAGGCGTGCACAAATGGTCATTGTGTGGGCTTTTAAGGGTAGTTCTGAGTAATGCACAACATAGCCTACTGCTGTTGTTTTTCACCGTTCTAAAGATGAGTACAATTATGTTTCTAAGGTTCTCTATTGCTAGCAGAGAGCCATTATTGTGTGTAATGTAAGGTGGCTGCTGTGTTGCTATGCCCACTAAAAGTCAGTGCTATGATACTTTTAAATTCCTAATATCAGACAGGCTACGTTTCCCCATTAGACTTCATGAAATGTCAAAACATTTCTAGGAACCAGTGCTGGCCATTAAATAGGAGGAATAAGATTAATATTAAGATTAATAATACAACATATTTTAATGTATTATTGTGAGTTAAGATAAACTCTGTTGATGTATTTTTCAAGATACAGAATATAAAGAAGCACAAAAAAAGCTCCTTATATACCAGCTGAACCATAAAATATAAATGCACATTATAAAGCACTTATTATTATAATCCAATAATATAACACAAAAAGACCATTGTTAACTTGAGCTCTTTTAGTTTAGGTATATATACCTTCTAACTTAGTATATTTTGATGCTGATACTTTTTAGTGAAGTAACATTTTAAATGCAGAACTTGTACTTCTAATGGTGTATTTCTACACTGTAATACTGCTTTTATTTAAGTAAAAATATCTAAGGTCTTTATCCACCTCTGCTCAGGTCTAGACAGCCATTAACAGCGCAGGACAGGAGGGAGACAGCCGACACAGGGCAGGACAGAAAAGGTTGCAGAGACATTGGCCGCCTTATGATAGAACACCTTCATTACACAGGACAAGACACTTAATTACACCTTCTCACTAAATCACACCTTTTCTAATGTATCACCAAGCCAGGAACCCGTCAAATACATTGTGAAGGGTTTGTGGCCCTAAAGAGAACATCGGATCACAGCAGTGATTTCAGCTAGATACTTTCCTAACTATGACAACAAAATGATAATGCTGTCATGCTGATTCTTTTATTATTGTTTTAGCAGGTGAAGTTTTAAGAATATATACAAGATCCTAGCGGCTTTAATTTGACCATTTGCACTAAGCGTGTTGGACAGTTGAAGCCAATACAAAGGCTATTTGTTTAGCAGGTATTTGGTCATAAATGTGAGCCGAATGAAATGTCAGGGGATTACCAGTTATAAGGGTTTATCCTCTGTGGACCATGCATATCTGTCCTAGATTTCAACGCAATCCATACAGTTGTTGTTTGTCAGTCTGTGTTGAACCCAGACGGGCACTGCCCTGGAGCCACAAAGGTGATATCATATTGGTGGTGATGATGCAGGTGATGACACAAAAGCAAGGAGAAACCGATAAATGCTTTGCAGGCCGCTCATTGATCGCTGGCAGCAGATGAATTCCCAGCTGAGTCTCTGGGCTAATCACACTCTTCGCTCCACATCTTCTACAGACTGTGTGCTGCGGCAGAGGCCGCTGTTCTTGGCACCGCCTCGCTAACAAACAGCTGCACTTTCTGAAGGGCAGGACTTTTGTCTCTGCAGGAGGAAGCACATGTTCATAAACACATAAAGACTCACACTTTCATACACAACAAGAATGAACGCCAACAAACTGTTTGGGGGAAAAACAGCTCTGATGGCATGGTAGATTAAACCACATTTAAATTGTGTATTGAGTTAAATATTAATTACAAGGCAGGATTAAATTGTAATTTTAAGCATATTAACAGTTCCGCAGACACCCGTGCAAGTATCATAAAATCTGTTATTATCTTTCTAGTAGCAATTGCAATGTAGCAAATAATACATGTCCTTTGCGATACAATACATTTACGGCTGTGGACAACAGTCTTGTGTACTGTGTTAGTGTTACAGTTCCTTGTAGCGGGAGACCTTGCAGCTTAAATTAAGCAATGGAGAGAAGTGCACTAAAGACAGCAGTGTACTGTAGGCAGAGAAGAAAAATGAAAAGCATGTAAAACTTTAAGGTCACCTGCCACCATGACAGGTTTTTGTTATATCAAAAAATGCAATTAAATTAACTAAATTTAAATAAGTCAGAAATAAAGTTGATTTGATATATTTCTGGTTACATTGACAATTGAAGAGCACAATAGTTAATGAAAAAACTTAATGTAGGAGAGAAGCTGCTCCTGAACAGCTGTCCAATGTAAGCATCACATAAAAAAACTGTACAATAAGTGTCTGAATCAAATATTTAACAGGCTATTAAAATATGTGGTTTGTAGTAATGTGATGCCCATTAAGAAGCCACACTGCTCTATTAGTTCACTGATAAGTTTCCTGAGCTCTGACGCTGTCCGTGGTCCTGAGCGCTGCACCATTAACTCCGCACCACCGGGGGTCAGTAGGGGGCTTGGCACTGACAACAGGAGCCACAATGAGCAATTGAGAAGCAGTGGATAACATGAATATAATGTGTCATTGAGTCATTAATCAAATCAAACCCCGGGTGGATGATTTGCAGAATAAATGTAATATATTGAGCATGACAAAGACAAATCTGAATGGAGCACTTGATCAAAATCATCAATTACAGGATGTGCGTCTTGGAAGTAACCCAAGAACTGAGTGCACTTCTTTCAGTCGGCAGCACACGCACACAAAAGGCGGAAACATGTTGAAGTAGCACTATCATGCTGTAGTAACTTACTTATTGATGAGTCTTCAGAGTGGATCACACAGACGTGGGCTTAGATTTCTCTATTAAACAGGTCAATGCACAAGCATCAAGACACTATCTCCACTTGTGCCTTATGATGGAAACTGGACAGTACTACACGGTTACTATACATTTATACATGTTTGTTATGTATTTTTAATAATATTTTCAGAAGTAGTTTTCTAGTGGTATTTGTGATGCATTCCCATGGTGTTCCAAAGCCCCAAGAGAAAATAACCAATTGATTGTCATAGTGATGTGAACAGGGTTATGTTAAGGCTTGAGAATGTATTCTTTTGGACCAAAACAGTATTATGAATGGAGAACATTATCAGAAGAAAATAACACATTAATCAGGAAGCATATGATAAAAAATACTATTTATTTGAATTCTAGGACTTCTTGGATACAGCCATTTTGAAACTTCATCTATACAAGAACAAGTTATTATTTCTCAGCCTCCACTGTACCACTTTTGAGAATTCTTATTTTCGCTGTTTGTCACAGAAGTCCTCCAACTTCATTGATATGCATTGTTAGGTTGTTGAAAAACACAAAGTCATCTTTTTGCCCTATTTTCACAGCTTTAGGTGGCTGTTGTTGCTTCAGCATGGAACATTTAGCCTGAACAAGAAGCCAGAAGGAACACTACACATGCTAAAAGCAGGCTTTGTTTAAATGATGGGTGTCAGATTATCTCCTTAATGTCAGGGTCGAAGTTTTGAGCTGGATGACTGTGCATTTTTAGAGTTCATGTCATTGCATTGAAAAGCTTTCATTAACCCAAGGGTCAACACATTTTCATTGCTTGCAGCTTCCTTTAATTAAAGTTGGAAATGAAAAACAACCAGTTGAGATTTTTTCACCTGCCACTGACAGTTTGTAAATTACCAGCGGTGTGTCAAATAATAATTTCCAGCTAATGAGTGAAACCTCTGTCTCTCTGTATTGTTGAGTGTTAGTATGCTCCATGAGCTGCAGAGTGCATAGATGGCTGACAATCCTTGTTCTGATGAATGACTGAGAAGGATCCTCTGCCGTGTGCGTCTACTTCCTCCTTCTTATCGTGTCCTCTTCTGACTCTGTGGCATTTATACAAGCAACTTTAATTTTGCAGTAGCTAACATCTGTGGATAGATGTCAGAAAAGTGACTCATGCAATGCGCACAGAGCTGCTTCCACTTAATCATGAAGGTCGACCCAGGAGAAACAGAAAGGATGAAGACATATATATATTTCTCCAGCAGCATACTTCGCTTTAATGACTGGGAGGATAGCATTGAAGCTCAGAGAGGGGGAAAAAATAGCGTTATGACAATGTCGACACAATGGGATTTCTCTTATGAGAGTATTAGAGGCACGTATTAGATGGAAAGGTCTTTACTTTGAGTTTCTCTCTGCCCCCACCCTCTCCAAC